TAAATTACTCTCTTTCCTCCTTTAATCCACCCCATAAAAGGTCATTTCCTTTTTAGTTTTCTATGGAACATTTCAAATAAAGATTCTACATATTGAAATAGTCAAATCTACTAAGTCTCTTTATTTCTCCTCCTCCCCATTTATTTTTTGTTTCTGCCTTAGCTGGTTTGTTAGAAATAATGTTAATACATTAAAATGAGTATATTCACTTACATTTTTGTCTAAATCTTTTATAGTTCAATCACTATTAACTCCTTAACACATTTGCTATTTATTTTCCTTTATGGTATAAAGTTGTGGTATACATATTTTCAAACAGTTAACAGTATAGTCTAACAATTATATTACATACTACAGTATGTAATTTTTAAAGCACTGGAAACCTGTCTCCAAATGATGGCTTCATGGGGCTTGTGGATGGTGAGTACAAGGGTCCTTGGGGGCTGGGATTTTGCAAGTTTTGCCTCCTCAGTACCAAGAGGGCTTCAGGAGCAGTCCAAACACCCCTCCTGTGACACCCTCTTATGACATTCCCTTTCTGGCTGCCCTCCCATGTCTTGTGTTTCTGACTGCTCCTCTGTGGGCACTTGCATCTCTGCACATCATTCAAGGGTAAGAAGCCCCCCAGTTTCCTCCCTGGCACCTGCTCTCCCCATTCCATCCATGGCCTCCTGGCAACCTTTGCCAGTCCTAGTAATTCTCAATATTAATGTCTTTCAAATCCTCATTTCTATCCCAAAGCCCTGTCCTGAGGTCCTGCCCATAAAAGAACCCCCATTTCAACTTGAAAAATGTTTCAAATTGTACTCATACACTCCCCGGATTCCAAACCCTCTCTCCTTCTCTTCAGCTTGGAAGGTCAGAGCATCATCCTCCCATTTTCTGAAATGAGAAACCTGGAGGCTATCCCATATACTACCACCCCACCTAGTCAGTAAATCCTTTGCTGCTTCTTAATTATTTTCTTGCCATATTTTCCTCTGCTCCTTTGCTCCTGCCATTGGCCTTATTTGTCGATCCCTGTAGAATCTTCTTACTGTTCTGCCAGCTGTCAGCCTTCTCTGCAATGTATCTTCCTCACTACCACTACAGTTACATTTCTAAAATAAATTGAATATGCTTAAAATCCTTTCTTAGCCCCCAATCGCGGCTGTCCCAACAGAGAAAATGAGATTCCGAGTGAAATTCCTGCTTTCCTCTCCTTCGTTTCTCCAACAGCCATGCCAAGTCCTCAGGACTTGGAAGTTTCTGAAGCACGGGTTGCTCCCTCAAGGTTTGAGGCCCCGACTCACACTGCCTTCCGCACCCGGCCTCCCCTGCCGGCCGCGCACGTCTGCGAACCACGATCAGCCGAGGGGCTCTTCGTCGGCGAAGCTGTCCCCGGCCACCCTTTCCCACCCCCACGCAAGTTAGATGGGCCTCTGAGGCGTGGGCCCCTGCGCGCCCCCTTTTTGCAGAGGAAAACAATTCAGCTCAAGAGAGGGAGGGAAAAGGAGGAAAGAATTTTTAGAAGGGTTTTGGATTCCAGGACGTGTTTTGAGTCCAGTTCTCGGTGGTTTGGAAAGTATCAGCCTCTCTGGGCTTTGTTTCCTAGTGTGTATAATGGGGAAATTAACCAACACGAGGGAGCGCTCAGTACTTCTGGGCAGAGTCACCGTCCCTTCCCAGGTAGCGCCCGAGCCTCGAACAGGATGGCCCAGAGGAGCCGTGTCATTAGCTTGAGTCGCGATCTCACGGCCCGCAGGGTGCAGCGGGCCCGAGGCCCCAGCGCGCAGGGGGCTCCGCGAGCCGCGCCGCAAGGTGGGGCGCCGGGAGGACAGCGGCGAGGCCCCTCCCCGCCCGTCGCAGACCAGACGCTGCCTCCTGCCGAGCCCGGCCAGCGCCCGGCCGGCGAGCCAGCTCAGGACATCCGCCTCCACCTTTCCGCTCGCGCTCCTGGACCCGCCGCGGCGCCAGGGCCAGAGTCGCGGCCTCCCGCCGCCGTCGCGCGCGCGGAGCGCACCTGACCCGGGCGGGCGGGGCGCCGGGAGGGGCGGGGCGGTGGGACTGACGTGGCCGCGGCATGGAGCCGCCGTGATTCATCAGCCGCCGCGCGGGGGCCGGATCGGGGCGAGCGCAGCGGCCGCCTAGGCGCCCAGGGCCAGGCAGCGGCGTCCCCCTGCCGAGCCTCGCGCGCGCTCTTCTCGCTGCTGGCGGCCGGGTCCCTGCTAAGGTCAAGATGGAAGAGATCCTGAGGAAGCTGCAGAAGGAAGCGTCCGGGAGCAAGTACAAAGCCATCAAAGAGAGCTGCACCTGGGCCCTGGGTAAGCGCACGGAGCGGGGCGCCGGGCACCTGCCGGCCGATTGGGCGCCCACCCCTGGCTCGCCGCCGCCGGAGGGCCTCGCGGACCGAGGCTGACACGGCCGCTCTGCGTGGGGGTTTTCGCTGGCCAGCTATTACAGATGGCATTTCGCGCAGTTGCGAGAGTTGCCTCGGTGAATTGATGTAGAATATGAGGGTTTGGGTTCAGGCGCTGACATCCATTCTCCTCCTCTCTGGTCTCTATCTTCTCCCAAACCTAAACGGGCACCCGCCGGCCTCCCCGCGGGGCGGGTCCCTTCCGCAGACCCCAGCACCGCTGGATGACGGTCACCCATCCACGAGTTAGTCTGGACCACCAGCTAGTGCGAATCCTGGGGCCTGATTCCGACGCGCCTGAGAGGAAGAGGGAGTTGAACCATCAACCCCAATCTCGAAACATTGGCGAGTGTAACCGGGAGGAAGGGCTTATTTAATTTGATTTTCCTGATAGAAGCTAGCTTGTTAAGTATTAGCTTTCACGGTTCTTGTACGTGAAAAATAACAACATATCGGTGGGATTGTGTTACCTCTGCAATTCTTGTGATCTGCCCTTCAGACGGGTGGGATTTTAGATTTGTGAGCTATTCAAGCAGTGAAACAAGTTCCAGTTAGCAAATTTGTGTTTCCCACCAGAGCTGGGTTGCAGAACTCAACCTCAGAGGGAACTGAAAGATATTTCAATTAGTCAAGAATTTGGGCAATCACAATTGTCTGGATGGGAATGAAAAGAGATCAGGAGAATACTTTGGGGGACAGCGATGCTTCTCAAAAAGGAAAAGCAAAGGAAGATCCATGGGCCCCTGGCCTTGCCCAAGCCTGCATGTGATTCCTCAGTTGCTATTCAATTAAAAAATAAAATTGAATCCCTTTCTCTCTCAACCAAAAATCAGCCAGTGCTTGTCATGACACTGTAGTGTGGTGCAGTCTGAAAAGAGACCGAGAAGTGCCATTACAGGATTTTCTACTAAATGTAGAATTCTGATGGTGTTTTAGGTGACTGTAGTATTTAGTTATTTAGAGTCATTTAGAGTTAATATTTAGAAGGTCTGAATTCTTGTATATTTGTGTGTGAGTGTACAATCACAGCAACATCATTTTTATTTTACATCTGCCTGTCATCACAAGATTTTCTAGAATATTGTCTAGGAAGTGTATCAGGTAGGCAGAACCAGAACTTGACCGTTTTGTTTACTGTTGAAGAAAAATGGACCAGATATGTAAGTGAGCAGCCAGGCTCTTAAAGCCACAGTACTATTTTTGTATTTCCATTGTCATTCAGCAGAGTGATTTAGAGATTCTGCTAATGAAGGGTCACAGATGGCTGGGTAACATAATAAAGCAGGGCTCAGTTGTGTTCTAAACATGCCATTCCTCTATTTTGCTGTAAGTTAAGTAGATTTAGATAACAGGGAGAAGAGGAGTAACCTAGTGGTTTTAATGTTTGAATTTTGATACTGAACGTCTTGTTAAGTTACACTGCAGTGTTGTTGAGTTTAGGTCCCTGATGCCACCTGGGAAGCCCAGAGAGGAGGCAGGTCAGTGATTTGAGTTGAGTCTGAGGTCCAGCCTGACTGTAGGAGTGGATGTGATTCCTTTCCCAGTGACTGTTCTCTGGCTACCAACGGGAGATGTAAGCATATGCATTAGTTAAATAATAGCACAGGGCATTCATTTTGAAGGTTGGCATGAATAAGCCAGGAAAACAGATCAAAGAAGAGGTGATAATGTGGGGTCCAGAGTGTGTGTGTGTGTGGTGGGGGGATTGATGAGAGCCACTAGGGCTTTTGAAGTGGATTCGACCGAAGAATGGATGAGCTTTGGGTTCCTCTTTTTTGCTTATTTATTTAGCAGACATTTATTAAGACCCCTGTATAGAGCAGTGGGATGTAAGGGTGAATAAAATGCTTCCTCCCGTAAGGAGTTTGTTCGATGGGCATGTTGGAGAATACAGCATAAACAAAGGCATAAAGATATGGTTCCCTGTTCTCTCTCCCTCCTGAATCCACATTCAACTATTCCACCATTTTTTTTAACTATAAAACACTTGCACTCTTCAATGCCTATAATATTATAGATTTAAGTGTAAATTCTTCAGAACACTCTTCAGAATCTAGCCCCCTCCTTCCTTCTTACTGTTCCCCCACCAAGGGTACCCCTATCTCCAGTAACTACAGTTCTTTCTTGAATATGCTGTACACTATACACTTCTGTGCCTTTGCTTATCTAGTCCTTCTGCCAGGAATTCTGTTTTTCTTTGTTTACATAGGAAAACAACTCACCTAAGAAAACAGTCCTTGAGCTCCTCAGTCAAATCAGTTGCTCATCTGGGTTCAGAGTCCTACCCCTCACGACCTGCTACTTTCGATTATGGCTGATTGTGTGCATAGCTGCTCTTCTAGGAGCAGGATAACTGAGAAATATGTTGGATTCAAGAGACCAAAACAACTAATTTAAGCTAACTTAAGCAAAATAAAATTTATTCACTCTATTAACTAAATATCCCTTTGAAGGCTAGCTGTGGGTTGAGTTTGGTTCAGGTATGCAGTTTTAAGGAGCATGCTTTGCTTTTTTGTGGTGACTAATGTGCGCTGAATGAGTCTCCGCAGCTTTGGGCTGGTGAATCATCACCTATAGACCAATCTCATGAGAAAAGGACATCAGCCCACTTAGACCATTATAGGAAACAGGGGTCACCATGACATTTAGAGCATCACAGAAGAGGAGTCATCTCCCACTAAGACTGTCACAGAGAGGCGTCACCTCCACACTTAGGCCATCACAGGGGAAAGGGCTATTTTCCACTTGACCCATCATTGGCTCATCTCAAGAGAGGGGGGCTCTTCCAGTCCTGGTGTCACATGTTGTGGCTTTGTCCTGATGGGTCATGTGTATCCCGGAACCAGTCCTCTCACTAAGGAAGGAAGTGGGCTGACTGACTTAGACCTATGCTACAAGGCCCCCTGAAATCCCAGAGTCAGGGAAGGGTGGTTTTCTCAAAACAAAACTGAGGTGATGCTTCAGAAGGCAGGGGATTGGATGCCAGTCAACCAAAAGCCAATGTCAGCAGAGTGGGCAGGAGCTTCCTGAGCTGAGGGACTACCACTCTGGCTTCTTTATGGTTTCTGCACCTACAATATGACAGGCAGATGTGCAATAAATAAATTAACACATTAATGACTTGTTTGGTTTTCAAGTGATATTCACCTTTTTTTCTAGTGATCAAAGTTTGTGTATTCATTTTGGAATATTGAGAAATATTCAAACAATATAAAGAAAAAATTGCAATAACCTGTAATCTCAGCACCCAGAGAAAACACTCATCATGTTTGGGAGTATTTCCCTTCTGCAAGGTGATTCTGTATTTGGCAGATTGTGTTTTTTTGCATGCCTGATAATTTTTTTATTAGGGTATCATTGATATACAATCATATGAAGGTTCACATGAGCAACATTGTGGTTACTACATTCAATCATATTATCAAGTACCCCCCCACACACCCCATTGCAGTCACTATGCATCAGCATAGTTAGATGCTACAGAGTCATTACTTGTCTTCTCTGTGCTTTACTGCCTTCCCTGTGACATTATGTGTGCTAATCATAATGCCCCTTAATCCCCTTCTCCCTCCCTCCCCACCCTCCCCACTCACTTCCCTTTGGTAACCCCTAGTCCCTTCTTGGAGTCTGTGAGTCTGCTACTGTTTTGTTCCTTCAGTTTTGCTTTAGATTGTTATTGTTTTTTAACTTTATTGTTTTCTTCTACTTTTTCATGAATACTTCTCTGAAAATTGATTTTCCTAATGGCTACATAATAGTTGGCAAGGAATATATATGTATCTTTCCTGTATTTCAAACAATCAGGTCGTTAGATATTTTTCTTGTGAGGGAGGAAATGGCCTGAATAGGGAGTGGAAAGGAATAGGGAAAGGGTCAGTTTGTGGGAGCCTGAGAACAATAGTTCCTCTAAGAACTGACAGTCCCGGAGGCTCGTGGCCTGGGAGTGGCAAGACGCAATAGAGCATAGAACTGGAAAGTACCGTGCTGTCATTGTAGAAACTTGTAGTATTTTACATATATCAGGGACTCAGAGAATGGATCTGGAAAATGGAGGAGAGGAGAAAGAAAATCAGAGGCTGGAATGCCAGGCAGGGAAAGACATTCTGTCCAACCACCATTCCTTCTATCTTCCCACCCACTTCTCTTCCAGCCACAGTCACCTTCACAGTCAAACTTCAGAAGTATCTTTGAGGACCGTGCCCATGTCCTTACTTTCTGCTCACTCATTTATCCTGATCTGACTTTGCCTCTCTCATTCCACCAGTTCTCAATGAAGAATGAACACAGCCCTCAGTCTGGCAGACTGTTCTCACACTCATCTTACAGGTCCCCCCAGCCACACTGAACATACCGGGAACCCCCTTTCCCTTGCCCCCATGACCACACCCTGCCAATTTCTATCATGCCTCTGGAGCTGCTCTGTCTCCTTTGCCAGCCCCAGCTCCTGCTCCTTTCCTCCTGCCTTCCCCAAAATTTTGAGATACACAAGAGTTAGCCCTGAGGTCTCTTGATGTCCGACCAGCCTTACCGGAGTTGAACATGGTGTGGATAAAATGAGAGTTCTTGTGGTCAGGATTCTCACCTGGCCCTGATTGACTGGCTCACTGCACACCTGTGGGCAATAAATGGCTGTTGACTCTATATAAAGAGCTCCACCCAGTGCTCTGCATGCAACACGGTGGCTGTTTTGCTTTTTTTTAGTAGAGCAGAGCAGAGGCTGGAGCAGTGGCAGCGCTGAGGACAGAGGCCCAGAGGATGGCTGTGTGGGATGGCTGTGTGGACAGAGGGGCCCAGAGGACGAGACCGGCTTGCTGCATGAAGACTCGCTCTGAATTAACAGGATTTTAGTGACTGACCTGCCACCTAGAAATAAAGTTGGGTGTATCCCTTTCACCCCAAGAACGTTTTGCTGTCAGTTTCTTTGGTCACATTGAATCCATAGCAAACTTACCCAGGGCTGAAACCCATTGGCAAGACACATGGTCATACCTGCAGCTTCAGAATGTGCTGCTGGCATTCATATCTCTAGTCTACACCGGTGCTCTGACACCCAAACCTAGGGTCCTGGAGTTCTGCATGCTAGAAGACTTAACATCTGCCTTTGGCTTGGACAAGGCTTTAATGGGACTTGTGCTCGAGCAGAAGAGACAGCCCTGAAGAAAGAATCTTCAGCCTGGCTGTCCCGAAAAGAGGTGGGGAGGGGTCTTTAAAACCTAAAACTCACACAGCTGCTAATTCTGAAGCCAAGATTATCACCAAGAAGGCTAACTCCAGAGGCCGTGCTCCTGATGGCTGATACACCGCCTCAGCCAAGTGATTAATAAAAACAAATGAAAATGTTTACAGCCTCAGTCATCAAATAAGCAACACCAGGGATGAAATAAAACTGTTTGGTAAAGACACAGGGGACAGACCCAATCAGATTGATTTCACAAGACATTTCAAAACCCAATAGGCCATAACGGCTTGCTGATCATTATGAAACATTGAACAGGGCCAGGTCCTTTTCTATTGTCACAGCTACCTACTCAGTGTCTTCACTTCAATGACACAGACTCACTGTGGCTGCTCTGTGACTTCCCTTACACTTTTCCCTTTTTTCTAGCTCTTTCTTAGCATCTGTAGAGTCGGGCACTGTTGCACATCTTGAGTTGACTGTAAACCCCTTTATCTGATGAGGAAAACTGCAAAGATTTGGTTGTTCAGTGTCAGAACCTCCCCTTGGGGAGTAGCATCAAGTTGTCCAGGGCACTGGTCCTGCCCTGCTTACTGCCGGGACTTTGAGCTGCTCCCCGCACCTGCAACTCAGGGCTTCGCGTTCCTGTAATCCTGTGTCATCTTAGGCCTGACCTCAGTTCTTGCACTTCCTCCTGCAGCCTTGTGGCCACAGCACCACTGACCCCACTGATCCCATCTCTCTGTTTATGGATTGTCTTGCTCACATCCCGTTTGGCCCCACTGGCGCGAGAGGCTCAGGTTCTGTTGTCATGTTTTGACCTGTTCTTACCCCTGAGTCTCAGGGACACATTTGGTGTCCATTTTTCCCTCATATCTCTTAGCAGAGTTGGGAGAGATGTTTCTCCTTCCTCAACCATGAAAATGGTTCCAATTGACAGGGCTTGTTGACTCTAAGCAGTGAAGAGAGAATTTTTAACACACAGTTTGAGCTGAAAAAGTAAGACAAGTTGGAGTTTGTGTTACTGGGATTTCTAATAAGAAATACATATTTGGTCTTTGTCCGTGTTCCTGGCACAGAACTCCTAAAACTCTTGGAGTTTCCTAAGTGAAGAGAGCCTTTAGTCTTTTTTATGCTAATGAAATGACTTTGGGCCACCTCTAAGGGTGGGGCTGGGAGCCAGCAGAACCCACGGTGAGATTAGAGGGTTGGAACTTTCATTCCCACGCCCAACCTCCATGGAGGGGACAGAGGCTGCAGGTTGACACAATGGCCAGTGGCCAATTATTTAATCAATTGTGTCTCTGTTATGAAGCCTCCATAAAAAAAAAACCCCAAAGGATGGGGTTCAGAGGGCGAGTCGGTGAGAACATGGGGGGGTTTGAGGAGAGTGGCATGCTCAGAGGGCACAGAAGCTCTGTGCCTTTTCCCCATACCTTGCCCTATGCATCTCGTCCATCTGGCCATTCCTGAGTTACATCCTTTTAGAATAAACTGGTAATCTAGCAAATAAAATGTTTCTCTGAGTTCTGTGAGCTGGTCTAGCAAATTAATCAAACGCAGGGAGGGGGGTCTTTGGAGCTTTCAACCTATAGCCGATTGGTCAGAAGCCCACTACCACCCCTGCCACACTAGAAGTGGGTGCAGACTAGTTAAAGCTACTGAGATAGAACAGGTTTTTTAGGGGAAGCAAATAGTGACTGTTTAATTACCACTACGATGGGAGACAGCAGTAGGGTAAATAACCCACAACAATGGTAAAAGGTTAAACCTCCAGGTTGGATTAAGGAGATCTGGGGCTGAGCCTTCAAGTCAGTGTCCCCAGCTATAGTGTGATTAAAAAGTAATCTACCATGTCATAAATGTGTGTGAGAATAAAGATGATGCATAAAGTGCTTTGTGAACTTGAAAGTCTCTCACAAGTTACTGTGTAAGGATACTGAGACAGTATTTTCAAGGAAATACCTTTCCTCGATTTTTATTGCAAGAATGTAGCTTTTTAGCTAACTGTAACTTGATTAAGTTGGCATTCTGCTTCAGGTTAGGAATTTAACTTTTCATTCTGTGTCTAAATTAGGGCTCCTGGACCCAATTCCAACATGCCCTCCACCCTCCACCCCTACACATACACACCAAGCAGTTCTCCGATACCAGCAGGGGGTCCAATAATTCAGCTCAGTTCTGACACTCTAACTGGAGACAGCATCAGATTCCACAGGCTGAGGCTTCAGTCCCACAAGACTTCCCTCCACGCCCTGACTCCCCTAGACTCGGGCTGGACCCCCCCAGGCTGTTACCTGCACTTCTGCCTAACTGGCTACAGATTATAGGTTCCCATGCCCTCTTCCTTAGGTTGATTAGTTTGCCAGAGCAGCTGACAGAACTCAGGGAAACACTTGCTTAGATTTTCCATTTTATTAAAGGATATATGATATGGGATACAAATCAACAAGCAGATGAAGAAGTGACAGGGGGTGAGGACCTGAACAAAGGAGATTCTGTTCTCCTGGAGCTTGGGGCCTGACTTCATTCTGATTCCCCAAGCATGGAAGCTCCCTGGAAAGGGAAGAGGAGCCGAAAAGCTCTTCACTTGGGCTTTTATAGAGGCTTCCTTACCTAGTAATGATTGCCTCAGTCATTGGCCACTGGCTGATTCAACCTCCAGCCCCTCCCCTCTCCAGAGGTGCGGGGACAGGAAGTTCCAACCCTCTAATCACATGGCTGGTCCCTTCGGCCACCAAACTCTGACCTTGGGTGGAATCCAGAGTCACCTTCATTAATAACAACACCCATTTAACCTTTATGGTTCTGATGCTTTTTCAGGAACTGGAAATGAAGACCAAATATAACATATGTATTTCTACTAAATCATTATATCACAGTGTCTCTATAAGGAAATGCATCCTAATTTTTAACCTTTTCTGAGGAAATTTCTGGGGCTATCAAGGGAGAAGGATTTTTAAGTACAGATGACTTGTATATAGATAATTAAGAATGGACAAATTTCTAATTATAGGAATTTAAGGGGTGAGAAAATCAAAGTTCCTAAGGCCAGGATTCTCACCTGACCCTGGTAGGCTTGCTCACTGCACACGTGTGGGCAATACGTTATTACTGACTCTATATATAGAGCTCTGCCCAGTGCTCTGGGCTGCTTGGCTGCAGGAGAGCAGAGGCTGGAGTGGTGGCAGCGCTGAGGAGAGAGACTGAGATGGCTGTGGGGCACAGAGAGGCTCAGAGGCAGAGACTAGCTTGCTGCATGCAGACTTGCTCTGAGGTGGATATGATTCTAGTGCTTGAAATGCCACCAAGGGAATAAAGTTGGGTATGAACCCTTTCACTCCAAGAACGTTCCATTGTCATTATTCAGCCTCACCGAATCTATAGCGAACTTGCCTGGGGCTGAAACCCATTGACAAGACACAGGGAAAAAAGAATCTAATAGTGAAGTTTATGTACAATGCGGATTCTCAGTCTTTACATATTTGTTTTTAACTTTCTAATTTTCCTTTTCAGAAACCCTGGGTGGTGTGGATACCATTGTCAAGATCCCTCCACACTTGCTGAGGTAAGATGACTGGAGTTGTATAAGAAGTAAACACTGCCCACTGTGTTTTCCTGAAGGCCTGAATAATCTCCTTGGCTTGCCGCATTTCACTTGCTGATGGATGGCTTTTCTGCACGCATGAATTGGTATATCTCACGAGGTTAGCATTATGGGAACCTGACTGCACTACTTTCCACCTGTCTGTGGAGTGCATGAAGTCAAGTAAGCCAAAGGAACCAGCTGTTGAAGTAAGGGGTGAAAGGTTAAAATTGGTCAAGGAGAAAAATGACCAAAACTTAAGGGAGGATGTGGACGGTGGACAATATCTTCCACTACAGATGGGAAATGGTACCCCTTTTGGGGGAAAGCAGCCCCATAGCAAGTGGATTTAAGCTTCTACTAGCCCCTTGGCTGGACACCATCTCACAAACTCTGTGGCCACATGCAGCGGCCTGGAGTCGGTGAACCTATTTCCCCACTTTCCTCACTTCTCACTTTTCACCCTTTCCCTGTCACGAGAGAAATACATGCCTTTTGAAAGAAATTTGGAAAGAACAAATAAGAAAGTTGCCCATAGTTACACCACTGAGAATAATTACTGAAAACAAGTTTAATAGATTTTCTGAACAGATATGTTTTGCCCACACACACATTTTTACAAATAAATATGAATTTTTTACAAGATTGTTTCCTGCTTGTTTTTGTAGTTATCATCATAAGAATATTTTTGAATGTCAATTATGTTCTTCAAAGTAAAAAATTGCATATTCTTCCATTATATGGCTGCTATAACATAATTTTATTTTATAGTTTTCTTATTACTAGGCATTTGGATGGTTCCAGATTTTTTGACATAATTAAAAATATTGAACTTACAGTGTTCTGTTGAGTATAGTTTCTGTGTTGTCAGGACATTATGATTTACTAGGTATTTTCTCTCTTGTCAAGTAGAACGAACAAGAATTATGTTTCTGTCTTTTTAAAAAAATTTATTACCTCTCCTATAGTATCTGCTTCATGCTGATATCTCTTAGAGAACTCACGTGTTAATCAAACTGAGTGTACTTTGGTGTGTGTAAAGCTTCTAAAGGGATAGACTATCTGGCAGCAATATTGTTGCCTACAGTGTTCAGCTGGGGTATCCATCCGTGCACAAAGGAGAATGAAGAAAAACAAAATCATGGATGGTTTAAGGGAGATAATTTCCTGGCCTCCAGCTTCTAAAGGTGCCCTTTCTTAAAACTGATTTGTCACATCTCCTTTTGTACCTCACCTTCTTTCATCACCCTTCTCCCTCCTGACAAAGGAAAGCACAGCGATTACCCTTCCCACCCCAGATCTCTCTCTGCTGTGTTTTCTGGGATGCAAAAATCGCTTCCCACGCAGAAGGACTATGGTAATATTGGCGTCTGTGTTGGTAAAGGGGATAAATATAATGACCAGAGCAAACATCTTTTTTGCAAGTTTGTTTTTTCTTTTTAGCTTTCAGTAAAACAGGGAGGTCCTAATCTAGTTATAAGAAAATAGATGAAAAGGGTTTTTGATAATAAATCTGCTTCATTCCCTTATTTATGTAAATAAGTTTTCTTACTGCTGAAATGTATGTAAATGAAAAAAATTGATGTTAAACCCCACTTTATTATAGCAATAAGGAATATTGCTATAGGTATATGAACTAATTGAGGGGAAAAATAAACAGGCCCTATCCATGTCTTTAGAAATGCATTTCCAACAAAATTGTACTTCCCATGTTAACTATATTAACATTCTTATAAATAATTACTAATGTTTGCATCAGTTGTGTGCATTAGTAATGATACCTCAAACCAGAAGAAAATTGAACATTTTTAAGCCTTATGGCCACAGGAAAGTTTTTAAAAAGCACTTTATGCACATTTTTTTGTGATAGAAAAATAGAATTAGGAAATTAATAAAAGCCTCACAAGCATTACAACATATTAAGAGAAAATTCTTTAGGGAAGTGGAATGGAAATACAAATTCAAGGAGAAAGGAAGACAATGCAGCAGTTTTTACTGTTATAAAATTTGCTCATATACTTTTTTGATGGCTGAAGGTGCTTTTCAAATTGGTGTGGTAGGTAGACATCATTTAGATACATTTATGTTAGTGATAAGTTTTAACTTAAAATTTAAAAAATTCCAATATGCCAGAATTATAGCCTTTGCAGTTAAGATTTTAATGAAGAAATTTAAATGTCAACTTAAAATATGGGAAAAACAGAATTTTTAAGTTTTCTTAGTGTGTATTTGAGCATTAAAGTTTGACACTGCTCTGAAGGTCATTTCCAAGTCCAGAGAGTTGTTGAACCTTACCCCAGGGCTTTCCGTGGTTCTGGGTATGATAAAAGTCCTGCCCTTAGTGGTGGGGCAAGAAGGTGACCGTGATACCAGCAGAGGTTTCTGGCCCAGTGGTTGGGAATGTTCATCAAAAAAAACCCCGTATTTTCCAGCTCTTGTTGCGCATTTGTGGCCAGATGAGTTGGAGAAAATACAGTGTTAAGGGCCTAAACATGTTTGGTCCCTCTTTAGCCATGTAGCTTTACTTTCCTCCATGGCCTTGAGATTTACCCCAGTGCCAGTCTGCCACCTTGTACAGCCCACAGGGGGTAGGCACAAAATTGGTGGGAGGAATGCCAAAGGAGGAACTGTGAATGAATGTATATAGGTGTCTTTATAAATCTTCACCATTATTAGAATTTAATTCGGACTGTTTATCCCAGTGATAAATAGCTGGTGATGCATCCTTGTATATTAAGAGATTATGCATTCTTGTATTCCAGGTGTGAGTAAGGTCTGTCAGCATTCTTGTACAGAGAACTGAACCATACGAGTGAGACATAGCAGATGTGAGCCTTGCGCTCAAAGGTTTTATATTCAGAGGGAGGAGAATGAAGACATACATAGCTGGCAAACACTGTTATATGGCAGCAAATGTAAATTTATTGTCGAATTTTATACATATAAGGAGGTTTCAGTTTGACTATGGTTCACAATTGTTGGGAGCCTTGTAAAGCCTCTTTTAGGGTATGGGAAGAAGCCATAATTAGAACAAAAAGAGTTATTTAATCAATATTAGTCTAATTTACTGTTTCCCTTTATTATTAGGGAAGTGATATAATGAGGAGATACACCATAATGGGCTTTTTTCCCTTTCTTGTGAATCAATCTTCCTTTAATCCTTTGATCCATTTTCCAGGCATTTTTAAACCCAGAGAGCACTTTGTCCAGTCGTTATGTTTAAAATGACATCTGTTGTTTGAGCACCTGCTCATAAAAAGCTAGTTACTGTAAATATTTGCTCATAAGAATTTAGATGTAGTAATTTTTTCAATTATATTTACTTTTATATGCTTATTTTATGCTTATATTTAATATGTGAGAAAGAAACCAGATTCAAAAACTATTTCTTGTATTCTCCTTATTTTATATTCAGATTCAGTTTCCATTTCTGTTACATAATCACCTACAAATGATTATTTGCAGATATTTTGTTATTACAGGTTTTGGAAAGGGCAATAGGGAATAATTCAAATTTCAAATACTTTTGCTGTACTGCTTTTCTTTTTTCTCTTGCTGTTGATTGCTTTTCATGTCAAATATGTTAACATTCTGATAGCTGCTAATATTGTTTTGATCAGTTGTGTACATCAGTATATTGGAAGCTAATCGAAGCCTTGAGAGACCTATTGTCATACTATTATATTTTCTTTTGCCATTGCTTGCACTGAGGATTTCTTATACACACTTATACAGTTGTTCAGGTGTCACATGAATGATTTCAGTGACTCTGGTGACTGAATTCAGTCATGCATAGGGCCTTGTAGGGGAGAAACCCACAATAAAATGTTTTAGATGGAATTAAGGGGCAGACAGAGGCATTGCTTGTTTCTGCCCCAGGCTCTTTCATTGAACAAATGCTCGCTGTCATTGCTGATATGATGAGAGCGTTAGCAACCGGGATAGGAATTCAAGCAGAGCGCCCAGTGAGAGTCAGTATCAGGGGTGGAGAGAGGTCCAAGGAACCCATCCTGTGGAACAGTTCTGAATTTGTTATTAGGTAGTTATGTGAAACTCTCTCCACCTCCCAGCCCTTACCTGGGGCTGAAACCCATTGGCAAGACAGCTAAGCATCTTGGTTTCTGTCCTGATTTGAGTGGAACCTCCATGGTATCTGCCATCAGGGAAACAAGCTCTTTTCCATGACCAAAGCCATGTTTAGTAAGACCCCTGTCTTGCCAATGGGTTTCAACCCCATGCAAGTTCACTGTGGATTCAGTGAGACTGATGAATGACAATGGAATGTTTCTGGGGTGGAAGGGTATATTACCCAGCTTGTTCTCCCGGCAACAGGTCAAGCACTAGAATTACATCTGCATCCAACAGTCTGCAAGTCTGCAATCCTCCATTTCTGCTTCTGCCAGAGCACTGGGCAGAGCTCTTTATATAGTGACTCAGTCAATAATAGCTTATTGCCTATGGGTATGGAAGCAGTAGTCAAGCAGCAGGCCAGTTACATCATTCAAGTAGTTTAGGTTCAGGTGAGGATCCTGGCCATAGGAACCTTCATTTTATCCACCCCCCCCCCACTCCCAGGATCACCTCTCCCACGTGCATTAGGGCTCTCCTGAAGACATTGCCCAGCCCCATCCCTCCTCCTTCCTGGGCTCATCTCGTAAGTTGCGATAGAGCCTGCTTCTTGTAAGTTGTCCTCCTGCATGCCAAAGCACTAGCCAAAACAACAGCTCTGAGGTGTTTGGTGAGCAATCCAAAGCTCCCTAGATGTGGGCACTGTACTGCTAGGGGGACATTTTCTGAGCTGCTTTCTTCCTCACAGTTGTCTACTCTGTGTCCTATAACAGGCAGCCTTTCTCACTTCCTTATCCTACTTATCCTTGAGGCCGAGCTCTGGTTGGTAGAAGTTACTCTTCTCTCCTTTTTGCCCTCACCATATTTCACACCATTTTCTCATGGTGCTTATTGGTCAGGTATGTAGCTGTTCA